AGATTGTTATCACATTGTTGGATTAATCTCTATTTTATTCGATTTAATGATATGACATTCGATAGATGCTTGAATAATAAATCTTGATGGGCGATATCTTTGGTTTTATTCATTGCACGAGTATGCGTTTTAAAAATTTTAAACAACATTCAAGTTTACGAGAGCACTTCATGATTCCATGAATAATCGACACTTACACATTGTAACAGAACGTCAAAAGTCCAAGAAGCCGAGAAATTTACAGGAATAGAAATCGAGATCTCTCTCTTGATCGATATAAAAAGCTGTCAAGTACACAAGGACACGTTGTAAGAAATATAATTTTTATTTTTTGCTCTCATTTAAAGCAAAGTTATGATGCATGTAAATTTTACACATCATTATTAATAGTATATGCATAATATAATAATGTTTAATACGATATATCTATTTTATATCTATTTTTTTTTAAATGATGTACAATGAATAATTAAACAGACTTGAATGTTTCATTAATTATTTGTCTAGAGTAAAGTACAGTACTAAGCAATAGCAATTGTAGATTTAAATAGTCGGACATCTTTTCGATTGGAAGACTCTCTTGGCGTGCATAAAGCGAGTAGAGTTGGAATGGAGACTATCAGCACAGCCGGCAGCAACGGACCGATAAGAGAACCGGAGGAAGAAAGAGGTCTTAGAAAAAAAGGCTGGATCGATAAGACAAGCCAACGTAACGTAATCGGCCCCGATAAGTTATATCTCCTTGAGGTCGCGAAGCGGAGAATTATGCTATTTCGTTTTCGTCAGTTTCGAGGATAACGAGAATATAAAAGGTCTGTGCGAAACCAACAATGCAATAGAAATAAAGTTACGGACAATTTTGGAGCATTCGTTACGTGTCTATGAAAAGAAGCAGGCTTAAATAAAGATATCCACATGGCTCTAATTTGTATATTAAAATAGATGGGATTATTTCGGATGTCCCGAATTTTATTTGTGTATGAAATTTATTGATAACGACCTTTCGAGCTCGTTATACGTGATATACAGGATATTTCTTAATAAGTGCGAAAAATTTTAGGAGATGATTCTTTGTCGAAAATTAAGGGAGGTTTTTCATATAAACATATACTCCTACATCCCTTCCTATGGAGTTAGACTGCTCCAAAAATGAGGGTAAAAATTAGGTTTTTATTTTTTTCTCAAATTTGGAACAAGTTAAAGAAATGAAATTAGATGGATTTTCTACTAATAAAAAAGATTATTTATTAAAATTTTTGGCAGTCTCCTGTATTGTTATAAGAGGATGAAACTAGTAAGCCCCATTCAATTTTTTATTAGAACTTTTTAATATTTATATGAAAAATCTCTCTTAATTTTCGACAAAGAATCATCTCCTAAATTTTTCACACTTATTAAGATACACCGTGTATACTTGGCAAACTTTTCCTCCTCTCGTTTTTACGAATGAGCTTCTGAAAACGGGATTTTCTATTTTATCTCGTTTTGATGATAGATGATGGCGTGATCGAGATATATATTAATAATCTTGTAATCTTTGGAGCAAGACACACATACGAAATGACCCTAGGGGGGGAAGAACCTTGAGCTACCTGATAATTGATTCTTCAAATTTTCACGAGACCGAGAAAATTGCTTCGGGAATGTTTATTTTGCGTGGAAGCAAGAAAAGTATCTCGATATTTACAGTTCGCACGATCGCTAAATCGATTTATCGCGTGTGCGAATAAGCGAGCGCGCATTTCGATGGAAATAATATATTCATCATCATTTATTTATTCATTTATGTTTATTCATTTATATCATTATTTATTTAGCACGATATATAAGAAAATCAATTATATATCAGAGAAATCAATTATATATAAGAAAATCAATTATATATAAGAGAGAAGAGAAAGGAAAGGCTCGAAGTTGAAAGGCACAAAAACATTAAAAGGGAATAAAAATATAATAAAAATATGAATATAATAAAAAATATAAATATATTAAAAATAAATTAAAATATAATGAAAATAAATTAAATTAAATATAATAATTTAATTAAAATTAAATATAATAATTAAATATATAATTTAATAATTAAAAATATAACTTAAATTTAATATAAAAATGAAAATTAATATCATGAGTCCTATACAATCACATAATAATGTCTTTGTTGATCGAGAAGATAAGAGGAGAGCTTTTCTTAAGTATTGTACATTAAATATTGATATGTGTGTACGTGGAAGAATATAAAAAATAAATATAGAAATACTTGGAAAGGAGAATTGTGATCGGTAATGATTACATGATTGTGGTTAAACTGACCAGTTGCAACGCAAAACTTGGTGACGAGGAAATCGTGATATTGAACACGCGCTATTACATCATCGAATGAATAGTTGAATAGATAATCTAAGAATTCTTTTTATTCTTTCTATTCTTCGATTCTTTCGATTTTTCTTAACCTTTAAACGCTTTTATCGCGCTTATTCTATCTATTTTCTTCTTTTTGCCCCTTACTCTTGGTATATCTGAAAAAATGAAATAAAGCAACGGAATAAAAAGCTATTTTTCTCGTAATGTTTTCTCTAAATTCATATTCTCTAAATTCATATTCTCTAATTTCATAAATGTAAAATTTATTTTTAAATTTGTCTATCAATATTTTTTTTAAATTATATATTATAAAAAAAAATTATATAAAAAATTATATGATGAGTCTTATATATATGATTTATATGTTCCAGAGAAGTAAAAATAAACTCTTTAATTGTACTAATATTCACGATTGTTCTTTATCTTATCTTATAGACTATAGTAAAATCTTCGTGGCGGGTACATGTTCTATTGCGATTAACAGATAAGATAGCGATAACAAGACAATCATATAAATCTCGAGCGAACGTTCCTAAATTATTATATAACAAAGTGCGGTGTCATGCAAGAACGATAATTGAGAGTGTAAAAACGCGGAAAAAACGAGCGAGAGAGAGAGAGAAAAAATGCAACAGGGAACGAACGATCGAGAGGCGATGCAGATACACATACACATAGAAAACGAGATGAGCTCAAGGCTACATTATGCATCGACGGAAATGTTACACATCTAATCTTATTATAATTTTCCCAAGCATAATTTCCGCCGTCTTTTCTCACCTCCAGTCACCTTAGAGAGAGAGAGGCGAATAGACGAGGAATATTTCTCAATTTTTGTCATTATTTGATGTATATAATTTCGCTATTTTTTTTTATATTTCCGCACGTCAAGCGAAAAATTTTGCTCGGGGAAGACAAATATTACGATTAGCGAAAATTGAGATTCGATTAGAGGCGAAACACTCCGCATATTTTCATTCCTGCCGAACGGAAAATATTTGCACGACGATGTAATTTCGTTGGCATATTTTATCGGTGTTTCATTCTCGACGATCCGGAAAAGAAAGAGGATTTACTTGGCGGACGCCATCATAGTAGTAAATCCGCGATCCGGAAGTGACAATTCTTATCCCTCGAGGTCCCCTAATGAGCACGCGAGTCGTAATTACGCGAGCGTAATTACGAAAGTCGCGTTAGTCGTTGTTCCTTGGTTGGCGGAATTTCGCGAAACAGGAATGAGCAGCGAATCGTGAGCCTGCGAGAGAATTAAATACCGTTTAATTCCACACGATGGTGCGGAAGAATACCAGCGATTATCCTCTCCGTAAATATGTACGCTCTTCGTCCTCGTGCGGCTTGTCATTAATTTTATACAGCTTAAAGGATCTCGCAATCTTTCTCTCTTGCCCACGATTTCCTTTTATTCGCATAATAATATAGTTACTTTTACAGTTATCCCTCTCTATGATTGAGCGTTGCTCGAGCTTTAAACTCAATATCGATCGAAATACATCAACGTCCCGGAAGTTGATGTAATGGTCGTTTCGTGACGTTATCCGCATTTCGAGAAATTGGGTGTATAAATCTTATTTTCGTTGTATTCATTTTTTTAAAAATAAGTAGAGATGTGTCTTTCGAGTCTTTCATAAATTAATCTGTTCAATCTATTTCTTTCCTTTTTTACGCTCGAGGAAGGACGCACGTCCTCGTCCTGAATGCACGACATTTCCTTTCTTATCGCACGAATTACAGAACGGCACATTGATTATTCCGTAGTTGCAAGGCATTCATGTATTCGACGTACGCCCGCCGGATAATATTGACAAGCTGAATAGACTATTACAATCGGCTACGTGCTATATAGTTTGTTTTGTCTGCGCGCCTTACACCAGCGAAATACGTAATCTCGCGAAATTTCTCCGCCCTAAAGGCTTTACGCAGCGAATTCCACCTGGATTCTCCTTCCTCGCGGACATTTCCGGCGCAGGATGCAGTTGCACGACATGACGCAAATAGAGAGAGAGAGAGAAACAGAGAGAGACGCATAAAAATGTCGAAGAAATAATCTCCCAAGCTTAAAAAAGAGAGATCTTTTAATAAATTAAAATATATGAATTATATAAATTTATTAAAGAATTTTTTAGGAATTTATATGTGTGATGCTTCGAAGCAAAAAGATGTCAGATTTTTTGAGATTGAAATCTATAAAGTGATGTAAAGTTAAAAGACTTTAAGTTTTTGAGTTTTTAAATTTGCAAGATTTTACGTTTTTTGAGTTTTTAGAGCTTTTGAGTTTATGAGATTTTTAGTTATTTTAAGTTTTTATGTTCTCTCTCTCTCTCTCTCTCACAAATTTTAAAAGTTAAAATAAAATAAAAGTTTAAGTTTCAAGATTTTAAAGATATAAAGGAATAAAGACTTTGAATTCATAATTTAATTACATGATAAAATGAGTATAAATGTTGTAAAGATCGATGTATTGAACAGGAAGTCTATCCTAAGCCGAAAGGCAAGGATTAGCGGTCAATAATAATAATAATATACATTAGATTAGATCTTTGAACCTCTGAGATTTTGAAAATCTTCTTTTACTAAATTTCAAAAGTGCGTGACTTACATCTGTAAAATCTTTGCAGGCCTAGTCCGGGCGGTGTCGGCGACAACGGCGTTCAAGGTGTCCGCGGCAAGGGTCTCCCGCACGTGATTTACTGTCGGCTCTGGCGTTGGCCGGACTTGCAGTCGCACCACGAGCTGAGGGCGATCGAGCACTGCGAGTACGCCTTCACCCAAAAACGCGACGAGGTCTGCGTGAATCCTTACCATTATCAACGAATACAAACGCCAGGTAGATAAATACGCCCATCTGCATCGTTGAAACGCATTGCTCCTTTATTTTTTACCTTTCATCCTTTTGCATATGATTAATTTAAATAAAATTTACGTGCGAAAAACGATGTTATCACTTACAGGGTGTCCGCTCCTTAGAAAAGGACAAGGAATTTTCGAAGATTTGTTTTGTATCTGAAAATTAGGGGATTCTCGTGGAGTTTTATCTTTTAAGAAAATTCTCTCTTTGATAATGTTGCTCTTATATTGCAGAAGGCAAGCCAAGTGAATTCAGGATTTAAAATATAAATATACATATTTCTATTTATATTCAGTGTCTCGCCAAAATATTGAATATATAGTATATATTCTTTATTGTAATTTTTAATAAAAATGTTTACGAAACTTCTTCAGTACATTTCCAAATCTAGCATTTGAAATTTAAGTCTATATTTTTTCTTTAAATGTGAGAAACATTAAAAAACGCATACAATAAAAAAAACTTATTTTAAAAAGTGTTGTATCAAGAAATTTTTAAAATATTCTTTTAATCTGGAATTTTGAACAAAAATAGGAAGATCAAGAAGTTTTCAGAGAATTTTTTACATTAAAAAACGCATATAATAAAGAAAACTTATCTTAGAAAGTGTTGCACCAAGAAATTTTTAAAATATTCTTTTAATCTGGAATTTTGAACAAAAATACCTGGAATATCAAGAAATTTTTAGAAAATTTTTTACAAGACTTGAATGCGGACACCCTGTACTTATATTTATAGCGAAGGTGAAATTCATACGTCAACTTGTCTTTATAAGAGAGAAATAGCGATCATCGGTACATATATATTCGGTTTGCTTAAATTACATTCTCTCTGTCTCGCTCTTTCTCTCCCTATTTCCGTTCCTCTTTCCCTGGAAAGGGCTGTTAATCGGCCGTTACAATCATAAGCATAGCAAGGCTAGTAGAATCGCGTGACTTTATCGTGGCACACGAAACTTTGCAGTTTTGCCGGCCATTCTCGTGCCGCGGCACAATCTAGCCAGCGACGAGAACACCGTCCTCTACAACACCTCCCTCGAGGAGCTTAGCGTCAGCGTGCCGGAGAACACGAGCTTCCACGCGACGTTAAATCACCAGCATAATCAACAGCAGAGCATACCGCAGTCCCCGCAACAGCAACAGCAACCAAATAATCCCTACCAAGGAATGCAGGTTAGTAGCTGGGTAAATTATTTATACACCGATTACAATAAAATGCGGACGATTAATTAAAATGTGAGATCTGAATTACTCTCTATTATGAATTCTAATACATGATAAACAATGTCGCGGATTATTTAGAGTATGCAGGCGACGAGTCCGGCGAGTGTCGGAAGCCTGGGAAGCGTGCAGGGCTCGCCCCATCCTGCTCCGGGTTCCATGGATCCACCGGCGGATACACCGCCACCGGGATATATCAGCGAGGACGGCGACAATATGGACCATAACGATAACATGTCTCTGTCACGCCTGTCGCCCAGTCCCGTGGACGCGCAGCCGGTTATGTATTGCGAGCCCGCGTTTTGGTGAGTGCCAGGGATGATTAATGAACAACATTGCATACCGCCTTCCCTTCAGAAATGGCGAAAGACTAAACACTGTTACTCTCATATTTCATACACGAGACAAAATTAATGGTAAAAACGTCCAGAGAGGATCCTTTTATAAATCTGATTGATATTGATGCAAGATAACTGTGGATAAGATCGATATAAAGATAGAAAAATGTCAAGGAACGGAAATGAATTAATTGCCATTCATCCCTTTTTCTTAATCTTCTTTATCACGTCATATTTATGCCGCTTCTATCAACTTCTGTTTTACTGTTTTGTCAGGTGTTCAATTAGTTACTACGAGTTGAATACCAGAGTGGGCGAAACGTTTCATGCATCGCAGCCGAGTATAACAGTGGACGGCTTCACCGATCCAAGCAACTCGGAGCGCTTCTGCCTCGGCTTGTTGTCCAACGTGAATCGCAATACGGTAGTCGAGCAAACCAGGCGACATATCGGAAAAGGCGTCAGGCTTTACTACATTGGCGGCGAGGTATTTGCCGAATGTTTATCCGATTCGAGTATCTTTGTGCAAAGTCCCAATTGCAATCAACGTTACGGCTGGCATCCGGCCACCGTTTGCAAAATACCGCCAGGTGAGGGAAGACATTTTATTGATATTCTTTCTATTTTAATTGATATTCTTTCTGAGATGTACACGATTTACTTCTTATTTTTTTCTTATCGTTGAAGATAATTTTTTTATAATTATCTGCATGTTGGCGAATTATTTCAAAGTTCGAATCTCCTTTTTCGTATTCTATTGCATTAGGATGGTTGAAAATTAATAAATCATATTTAAATTTCTATATTTTCTTTCCATCATTTTTCAATATATTTTTCAATCCCTCTTGGATGCAAATTAATAATTGAAATTCTTTAAAATACCCCAAGTTACATAAGCCGTCCCAACGAAAAATAACGAAGCAATTGCTGCTCGAACTAAATCTTTATTCATTCGTTTGTCATATCGTTCTCAGAACAATATTCAAATTTATTTTATCTATTCCTTCTCAGGATGTAATTTGAAGATCTTCAACAACCAGGAATTTGCGGCATTACTATCACAGTCGGTGTCGCAAGGCTTCGAGGCAGTGTACCAGCTGACGCGTATGTGCACGATCCGGATGAGCTTCGTGAAGGGCTGGGGTGCGGAATATCGCCGGCAAACGGTTACCTCGACCCCTTGTTGGATCGAGCTGCATTTAAACGGGCCGCTCCAATGGCTCGACAGGGTACTCACACAAATGGGCTCACCTCGTTTACCCTGCTCCTCGATGTCCTAAGTCTTTGCATCCTCCTCAAAATTGTTCGTTCGCGATGGAACACGTGAGAGTATCTTTTGTGCGTTGTCGTCGTCGTCGTCGCCGTCATCGATTGGCTTGTCCTTTCGTCGTACAATACACGAAAATATAACTTGTTTACATTTTCTCGAACAAACACACTGCATAGTGACGCATACGAAAAGAAAAAGGCATATAATCTTGCCATACGAAGACGCTAGTTGGCGAAAAAAGAAACGTTCAGGCGCAACGATACCAAGTTTTTCGCATCGTAGCAGTGGCTTTCTTTCAAATACCGTGCAATTGAGCAACAACGGGGCGACCACGGCGTAAACGCGCAAGCAAAAAAGTGCGAAATTGAAAAACGACGACGATCGCTGGCGCGCGACAGTATAAATATCATAGTAAATATATTGAAGCTTGGTTTTAACACATATACATACACAGACGCGCGCGTGCGTACACACATACACACACACACACACACACACAGAGTTCATTGTGATCGAGAAAGGAGGAAATATGTGAAGACGGAAACACGTGAGGACGCGAAAAGACGCGGATCTTTGCCTCGGCTCACTTATATCGCGTGCATGTGCACCGCAATTGGCGTACAAGATATATCCAGGGTGATCATAATCCGAGTTTAGTCGATTCGTGTATAAGTAATAAAAAAAAACGAGAGTGATATTTATATATTATAAATATATGTATATATGTACCGCGCTAATACAGAGCTCAGTCTTTTACATATTTTTATTGCTTATTAAAGCAGACACAACTATTACAGTCGTTGTATTACAGTATACGTCAGATCTTTACGAGATATAATATACATTAATATATTATATGTATGTGCGCGTGTGTATGTGTGTGTATGCATGTGTGTGTTGAGATTTCACTACTACTTGAATCTGGAAAGAACTTGAATATTTTATATATTCGCTCAAAGTACACCCAAGTACATACACACACACACACATATGCGTGCATGCACACATGTGTATATATATATATGTCTCATTTCATATTTGTTATGGAAGATCACGATAGCATGATAGCATATACCGGTAAGAAAGTAAGGTTTAAAATTTATTGCGTGCATAAGATTTTCCAGTGGTAACATAACGTTATCTGTGTGTTTATAAAATTGACGGTTAGATTCCCATATCTTTGAAGCCATAATGTAAAATTTCAATAGTATTTTTAGCGGAAAATATGGAAAAATAGTTAAAAAATTCTACGATCAATAAATATTGTTTATAAACATTATATTTAAACAATATTAACGCTAATATATATTATGAATATGTAATTTCATAACTGTATATATTATACGTTTTCGTTTGACCTTCCTTATATTGAAATCAGATGGAACAATGATTGACTTCTATGTTTTTGATTTTTTTTACGACTTTGAAAATACTTGAAGAAAGATGCTGTTTAGGCATGAACTTTTCAAGAATTTTATTTATTAATGATATTTATTAGTCGTAGAATTCTTTAAATATTTTTCCGATACTCTCCGCTAAAAATACTATCGGCATTATTTTTACATTATGGCGCCAAAGTTGTGGGAATCGTGCCAAATTGACATATATATCAATGATATATATTTTTTCTAGTGAATTAAAAATGTATTCTATATGACTCACTCTCGAATGTACATTTAATGCGATTGCTTATGACATTTTAGCATAATGAGTACATTTATTTGATTGTTATGTATGTTTTCTTTAATGACAAACGTAAACATTTAAAAAATGCAAGATTTATGTGCATGAAGAAACTTTTAATATATATATATATATATTTAATATATATATTTAATATATTTAATTTATGTTGTATTTTTTTATATATACTCTCTTTTAACATTTCTTTGGATTCGAGAAATAAATTTTGCTTTGTTTAACAATAAAGGTACTGGTGTATCTAAACTGTTGCAAGTATAGTAGGACCTCTCTAAGCTATGCGTAACTTTACTATTCCTAATATTTCTTCTCTTTCCACATATATTTTCATTGATGCTAATATTTTGACATCTTTGTGTTATAATAAGTAGATTACATGTCGATGCGCATAGCAATATTTCATTACATTCTGGAAATGCAAACAATTGATTAGTTTTGTATAAATATTTTGTGTAAAAATATTTTATAACTATTTTTTTCCAGGAATTTCGTTCTACCGCGTCCAGCCTCATTTGTTGCCCAAATTATGAGGTTGTACTAAAATGTCTTCTTATATTTTTCTCACCTTTTCATATAAGACTCATCCTTATAGTTTTGTCTTATTGTTGCGGACAAAACTCTACCATTCATATACTTATTTAGATATTGTTATATTGATTGATTTACAATCCTCTTATATTATTATTAATAATAAAAACTACTATAAATCATTTTCATATACATATATACACATACATTTCGTCTTTCAAAATATAAATATTTTAAAAGTCATAAAAGTTTGAATTTTTAAATTCTTTTTTTAAATTTTTTTTTTTACATTTACTATTTTTCTGTATTTTTGTTGATGGGTTTTCAATATCTTAAAAAACGAAGCACAACTTCAGGAACAAAAAAAAATCCATGAAAGAAATTGACGATTAAAAAAAATGCACAAATTATGTTAAGAAATTCTGAACATTTTAAAGATATGAAGTCTATCAAAGAAACAAATGTGGAAAGGCGAGTTATCATATTCTAACGAATGGAATAAAAAGCAAAAGGCTAATATAAATAATAATATATAATAATTTCAAAGTGATATCGACCATAAAAACTGACTTTAAATAGTGAAATTAATGCGTTATTGTAACACAGGAATATCTTATGCGAAACACGTTCAAGTTTTCTTATCAGCTATAGTAATCGATCATAATCTTCGATAAGGAATATAAAATGCATAGCGATAAATCCTTAAATTATCATGAAATGGAAATGTCGTTCACACGAACATTTCAAAGAAAAACTTTTGTTTAATAGTTTACGTTTACCTTGTTTCTTTGACATATATTTATTACAATGATATTTACTGTATACTAATTACTTCAAGTATTTCTGTATTCACATAATTATTTTAAAATCGAAAGCGTTGGAGTAATTATTAATGAAATGACATGAAATCTACAAAATAATATTTAGATTATTACATTATTATATTAATTTTGTCGTGTTGATAATTTTCATGTTATAGCTTCCCAATTAATCAAAGATCTCAGTTATCCCGTTCGATTCGTATCTCTTTTGTAGTAAATTTTAGCCGAAGATTTTTTTTGTGCGAATGCCATTTTACACGTAAGAAGCGATTCTTTTTTTTTAATTATAAAATATGCGACATGAATTTTGCATCGCGAATTACTTTAACTTTGCGAGTCATTATTTTATGTGAATAATGCGTTGATACGTGTTGATGATCTTAGATATATTGCTAAAGTGATGACGACGATGTGTAAATTTACGTCGATCAAACTTTTCGATGAGAGTGAAAAAACGAGATAAATGTTAAGGAATAATTGCATTATGTTACCTATTGTCGCCAGGGCTGGACGTAATATTTTAAACAAATATATGATATTTGGAAATAACGCAAGTAACTTTAACAATAATTTTAAATATCGGATTATATGTGAGATACTCATATATGCTGAGTAACAAGATCACGCGTATTTTCGAGTGTATTGGATACAGAATATGAAATATCAACAAGATATTTTGTATCTAACAATAAGATATTCATATCGTTTGAATCGTTTGTATTCGAGCTGTCCAGTCCTGCGCTCCAGTAAGAATTTATATATATACGAAAGGAGAAGAAGCGATGTATGACTTGTAGTGAGATAAAAAAAAAAAAAAAAAGTATTGAAGGAAAGAAAAAGCGTATACAGAATAAGAGAATGAAAGAGAGACAGGAAAGAACAGTAAGAGAGTGATTATCTAGATTATATCGCGTACTTTGTAGTTTAATTCCTTAAATAAGCGTGCTGGGCTTTCACAGAACATCTTTCGACATTGCGAAATTCGCGAAATTCATTAGATTGACAGCGCGGAGAACAATTATTAAAAAAATGGAGAGAGTCAAAGTTTATTTTCTTACAATTTATTCTCACGTATGATCGATTTATTCCGCTTATAAATATTCACTTGCTGATAGAATTTACAAAATTTAAAGTCTTCTCTTCAACTCCAGGTATTTCTATTTCAGAGAAGCTCAAGATGAATCAATTTTATTAAATTTATTTTATGTGTTGACCCATATACTTTATGATAAAAAACTTTTTTAAAATCTTTTTGTCTCTTGAAAAGAATGAAAAAATATTGATAGGTGAATATTTATAAGTGCTAGTGTATTTTTTATACGGAAGCGAGAAGAAAGTGCACATTCGTGAAAGCCCACTACGAATATCTCAATCGTTGGGCAGCTCGAATCATACCAGTGTCTGATTGTTTATTTTCTCATTTCTGCAAAAAATTAGCATACACAGTCTCCTTGCTCGCGCCATCATTCAACGAGCCTTAGCCGGTTTCGATTTCGTGACAGATAAAGAACACTATGGAATTGATGTCACGTTTATAACTGTCAAGAGCTAACTTGTGACAGATACCTCCTCGCACATATATAGACTGCCATTAGAATATTTAAAAGAATAATTACAAATTTAGGAAAGCCGAAAAAGACTCGCTTATTCTTTCCTTGCGACTAGTGTTCTATTCGATTATTCAGATATTCGATGGAACAAGATTCCCGTGCTAAAGCCATATCATTCGATATTATCGCATCATAATCCCGCAATTTGTAATATCGCATCAATGTACTCGGGATGACTCGAAGCGTTATCCGGTCACTTTTCATCCACGAAAATCCTCTTCTAATATTTGAAAAGTGACTTGTGATAAAAGTTTAATACACCCTGCAAACACCAAGTAATATTTATATAATTTATATAATTGTTAATTATAATTTCTCACTCAATAATATAGCTGTTACATGTTATGTAACAGCTATATTGTTGATTGAGAAATTATAATTAACAGTTATGCAACTGTTATTTGGTGTTTGCTGGGTGTGCATATTATGACATATCAATTACCTTCGCGCAATATTACAGATGGCAAGCGATCATTGTGCAATGATATCGTTCGTTGTATGGGGACTGTTTAAGAGAGAGATAACTGTGATAGAGAGCCGCGCTCAGCTTCGAGAAGGAGCACGTCACGTGTACACGCTTGGATCCATTGTTTTCATTTTCATTTGACGAGTCATGTAATGATGATAGAGAGATACAACGTAAGTATAATATCTCGAGAGAAACTGTTTTGCTTAGAGATGTATCTTTCGTTTAATCTTATCAAGATTAAGATCATTTGTTGCCAAAGGTGTGTCTCGTTTAAATAAACCACTTGCCTTCTGTAAATTGTTTCTACTTGTATAAGACAGCAGAATTGGCGGATAATTGAATTTCTTCTTCAGGAGGTTAAATTTCGAGAATTCTAGTCCTTTCCTCCTCCTCAAAACCAAATGTATATCATCGTGAGTAGAAAGAGAGACATTTTGATCATTCTCTCGCGAATCCTTTTTTTTTGTTCGTTTTTCATGTATCTTTGGCGGGATCAACTGTTCCAAAATGTAATATATATCATCGTCTACTTAACACGCATACAAAGCTTTGAATCGAGCGGCCCGACGATCACGGGTTTTTAATTCTATATATAAACATATATAAACTACTTATATATTTCTTGTGTATGTGTGTGTATGAATAGTCGTGTCCATGTTGTGAATTGAAATAGGCATGAACAATTTTGTGCGACAAAAATACAAAGAGAAAACAGTTGTATATCACTAGCGCGTATCAAAATTTGCCTCTTGTTTCATGTTTCTCTTTTTCGTTTTTTTTTTTACGACATGGACGTGGCTTTTTATGAAAATACGAGAAATGAAAACGAAAGAGCGAAAGAGAGAATGAACAAGACGTTATAGGGAAATGGAATATCGAGCCTGAGAGACTGTATAATAATTATAAATAAATGTACACGTTAAGAGACCAAAAGAGGGA